ATGAATTGTTAACATAACACCGATACTCGTATGCTAAAAATGAATTTAATTAGATAGACAAAAGAACATCCATGTTTCAGAATATACCCTCATTTCCTTGATGTATTCGTATCTTTTTGACTCCACCAGACAATGGCCACACAACCACATCACTGATCTTGTTTTATTCCTTGCTATATCCGCTACATAGAAAGGAAAAGATATTATTATCTTAAAACTATACCACTACATATAAATCGGATGTCTTAATACTTACTATAGTTAGGTCTCTCATTTAACGGCTGCGGTTTGAATGCAAGTTTGGAGTACGGTGTAAAGATATCCGAGTCCACTCTATACGTCATGGACAGGTTGAAAAGTGTGTCTAATTTTGACTTTCCTGGATAGTTCAAAAATAGTTTGAAATATATTCTGACAACTTTATAATTTTCAGTGGAAATATGAATGTATAAATATGTTACTATGTAGTTTAATCAAAATATCGTCTTCTGATATGAAAGCAACCTGGCTTATCATGTATAATTTAATCCTTAAAACTTTATTTCTTCTCGTTTAAAGCAAAGAGGTCATTCTTTGTTAAACACACACTCAATTCCATGCCGTCTCCTTCTTTTACTAATATTGATTTTTTGTCAAATACTTTTCTCCTGGCTATTTCATGTTATGACAGCTGCTGCTAAATTTAATATCAATAAACTTATAGATTTTAAAATTGCCTACAGAGGTATACAATTTCTATTGTGTATCTAACCAACTGAACGTAAACATACTCGATTACGTATATATCAATATATATATATATATATATATATATATATATATATATATATATATATATATATATATATATATATATATATATATATATATATATATATAAAGTTGCGTTTTTCTTTATATGTTGATATATGGCACATGTTATAAGAGATTGTTGTGTTTTAATGTTTATAGACATTGCCACAATATTTAAAAAGCAAGTTAGAAATACACTAAACATGTACTGCAACATTTGTAGTTACTTTTTTGGAAGACATTTTGCGTATTGAAGACATACACATTTCGGTAGGGATTGGAGGGGGGTAGTGGGGGGGGTCATCCAATGTAGACGCTTATTGACTTTTGGGGGGGGGGGGGGAGATTTCAACATACGCTGTTGGTCTTTATTTGTTTGGCCTGATCGATTTCACATATTTAATCCGTAATCGCTTAGAGGTATTTGTTTGATCAGATTGTTTCATTTTGACATGTGTTGCATTAGTATCAAAAGGCGGTTTCTTATAATAAGTGCAAATCGTTTGCGAGGACCGCCATGTTTTGATTTTCTCGTTCAACATCAAAACGGTTTTTGTGGATGTGTTGTAACCAGTGGTGTGCGGGGAAACAAGTTACAGAGTCAGTGGGAACTCGATAATGACTTGGGTTCTACACACAAAACTAAAAGAATGGACGTCATATTCTTACCTCGGCCACGGCTTCAAATAGCAATATGTCATTATTTAGTATATTGTTTTATTTGAGACTCTTAGGGGACTAGCCAAACAGAGTCCACAAGCAGAAGGCCTCTAGCTACAGAAAAAGTTAATGAACGTTATGTTGTATTTACACGAGCTGCTCAAAAGAGTGCAAATCTCAAAATAATTAAAGTCTGTTTCACTCATTACTGATGTCGTTGAAATAACACGTTATGTCTAATACCGACTTTTAAAAAAGCAAACAGAATTAAGACAATAAACTTTATTTCTATATATTCTTTAATTAATTACCTTCCATAAATCCATGGAATAAGAACGGAGATTCCCAGCCCATCATAACGTACATCTTGTGCGGCCATCTTTTTTTGAGACTGGTAATTTTGTAACTGTTGAATAGATTGACGCCATAGATAGCCACAATATCCGTCAGGTTCGTGACCTCTGTCTCAGCTATACAGTTGCTGTACTCACAATGGGAAAAATTGAAAGTCGTTTTTGAAAAGGCGCGCCAAGTATTCTCTCTGAAGTAGGCAACTCTTTGTTGCTTTGTATTTGTGACTGAATTTACTTGGTTATCTCGCTTGATCTTTCTTACTCCGCAGTCAATGTACGGCGATATTTTACAAGGTACTATCAAACGAGTGTTAAAAGAGATTGTTGTTGCTATGATGCTTTCATTATCAATATAACCTCCTTTCATCCGTACTTCTAGCGTGGCAATCGGAAAATTCTTATTCAAATCATTATTAAGGAATGATTCCAAGTTATTAGATCGAAATTTCCGTTTTACATAAGCGTTGTAGTTCACGTTAGTTATTATTAATAGAAAAAATCCAAACACAACAGAACCAATGATGTTTTTGCGTTGTCTGTCACTAAACTTCATTCTAGATTTAAATTGTTATATACAACATTTTGATGTGCTTAAATATATGTTATAGTGTCACGGATTTTTAAAGCCCAAGCAACTTTATTTTTTAAAAAAAGAAAAATTAACATTTTAAAAAATTCATGTTCATTAAATTATCTACAATTAAAAAATACAATATGTTTCATAAGTTTAAGAAATATAAAATTAAAATGTACCTATCTATATTGTATGTTTGTTACATTACATTTTACATTTTCGAACTTAATTACTTTGTTTTATATAGTTACAATATAAAATAGTAAACAACTTTAATTATTACTGAAAACTTAAGTACTTATTAGGATTGTTACGTGTGTGTGTATGTATGTATATATATATATATATATATATATATATATATATATATATATATATATATATATGTATGTATGTATGTATGTATGTTACACATTATCAACGAAACTCTTCATCCATGTGGAACATGTATTTCCTTAGTTATATATCGTAAATGTGATAAAATTTTACTAACATCCCGTTGTTGCAATTTAAATCAATTTGAACCCGTACACATACTCACATGAAGCTCTCTTTCAGAATTATAATTATCTTACAGAAGTACCTATTAATTTGATGTGACATGAAGCTGAAATTTTAGATTTAACCATTTATGTTCCTTGTGCCTTCAATATCCATTAAAATTTTAGGCTTTTTAAATGAAAAACAGCACATATAAAATTCTGTCAGCTTTAGAAAAACAAAACGACTTTCTTCTTCGCTCATGTTGAAATTAATTCACATATTCAACCAATAACATTCGGCTTATTTTCATAGACCGTATTGATTGTGTACCATATTGTGAATTTAAAATTTCTAAATGTTTTCTTTTAACGTGGCTTATTGCTTAAGCTTAAGAGGATTACATCGCAGACACTAAATCAATTTCACATATTCTCACATAAAGACACTCTTCTGGGAACGCACGCACACACATATATATATATATATATATATATATATATATATATATATATATATAGAGAGAGAGAGAGAGAGAGAGAGAGAGAGAGAGAGAGAGAGAGAGAGAGAGAGTGAGAGAGAGACAACACAAACAGATATTTAAACGGCTCGACTTTAAGGGGGAAGACACCCAGACAATGAAACATTGACGAAAGTATTCGCCAAAAGAAATAAACCAGGAGTGATCTCCCCTAAGCTTTCTCGAATATTCTTATATGAAACAACAGGGGATGGGAACTCGGGATATAGACATGATTTTTAATTCATTTTAAATACTTAAACTTTTTAAAATAGAATAAAATCTCGTGGAAAAAGAATTGAACACCAAGTGAACGCCAAATAAAACGTGCATAATAGTGCGGAATATTATTAGTTTTAATTTACATTCGTTTTTTGAGAAATCGGAAATAGCGCAAATTACTACTTCCGGTCAACGGAAATTACTCAAAATTTGACAACAGGCAGAGAATTAGATCTTTTATTTACAAGTGAAATTTCATTTATCTATCTGAAATAGTACTCAAGTTATATGCTTTTGAAAAATTCAAAGTCGAAAAGGTACCACTTCCGGTTATTGGAAATCGCTCAAAAGTTGATGCTGATCTACTATTTTGATAAAATACTTATATATAAAATTTCATCAACCTAGCTGTAACGGTACTAAAGTTATCGTGTTTACACACACACAGACACACATACACACACACAGACATACGGACCAGATTGCAAAACTATGTTTTTCCGACTCGGGGATTTGCAAAAATCTCGAATATTATTTTTTGCACGATTACAAGTCTTCCTCTATACTTTGTATATACAAGAAAGTAAAAACTATTATAAATATACACATCGTTATTTTTTTACCAAAGTAATAAAGGAGCTATAAAACAACACGTAAAAGAAAGTCAATGTATAATGCATAAAAAAATATAAATAATTCGACCCAAAAATATTTTTTATAAACCTAATGCTGTTGTTTTTTTTTTTGTTTTTTTTTAACATTTAGACCTTTTTAACATAAACTTAGCAAAGAGATCTATAACTTAGTTATCTATGACTGGAACAGCAAGATTATTCATTTTAATAAAATTTGAAAAATTTTTTATCTTTCGAAGTCAGACCAGTCAGAACGATCTGGAGGTAAATTTGAAATTTTCTAATACATTTAAAAAGCATTAGAATGCTATAATTTCAGTTCCGTTACAGACTGCCTGCTTGCCTGACTGTTTGCCTGCCTGCCTACCTGACTGCCTTCCTGCCTGTCTGCCAGCCTGTCTGCGTGTGTTTTTTTCATATGTGTGGTCAAGCTTATTATGACGATTTGTCACAGTGGGGTTGGTGAATATAAAAATCGTCAAACTGACGTGACGTCATATATGGATGACCCCTAAAACTTACAGTCATCCAAGGATAAAGAGTAGTTTAGTTTATTACAAAGTAAGTCGAAAATATATTTAACAAAACTTATGTTAAAAACTACTTAATAGCCTAATGGGAGAATCTTAAAGTGGAATTCATATCCACAGGTAGTTACTATCAAAAGAAGTGATTTTTTTTCTTTTCACTAAAAGACGATATGAAAACATAACAGTACATTAATATTACTAAAAAAAAAGATTAACACTAAAAAGTCCTATAAAAATATGTTTTAATAAAAATGTTGTATGTAATAACGCGCGTATAATAGTGCGGAATAGTTGGATAAGTCTGCCTACTAATTTGAAGAAATTTTAATTCATTCATAAAAAACTAATTAGGCATCCAATTAAGTCAAATTTAAAGTACGTTTGCATTGTCTACATGTCCTAACCCACATGCCAACTTTGAAACGAATCTGTCAGAACTGCCCAAATTTTAGCTCGATCGTGTCGATTTGTGACGAAATATAGACAGACTGAACGAGGACGCAAGTTAAATAAAATCGTGCAAAAACGGAACGTAGTGCGTATATGTAAAGTATATTAAATTTCACTGTTGTAGAGTTGTAGTTGTTTAAAAATTAATAATCAAGATCTCAAAATTAAAGTGTGTCTTTAACATTTTGATCGCATTGACTTCCGTTGACAAACCACTCTTTTATGTTGTAAATTTTGGGCTCCATTTTCTTCGTGTTTAGAGCTTTACATAAAGTACAGCCTGCTGTCTTTAGATAGTCGTCTGTTTCTCTATACAGATCTATATGTTCTAAATACTTGCTGTAACTCTCAATATCTGAGCCCAGATTTAGCAGAAATAAAGCCAAATCTTTGGCCGTTTTAAAATTGGCCGCGTTTATGAAAGTGTTTTCCGGAAAATATTTCTCGTAGTCCACTTTTCCTCTCACAACTGGTACAACGTGGATGTCTTTGTTAAAAAGTTTGAAAAATTTCTCCGTGATGTAATCTTGACATAAAGAGTTCTCGAACGACAGGTAGAATTTGTAGTTCGGAGTCAGCGATTCCATACAAGGTGGTTTTTCGTCACAAGATTTTCCACACCCACCCCTGACGTCAACATCAATGTATTTCTGTATGATATGGAAACATTGATATATGGGGTTTTTTGTTGATTTCTAGCCTAAATTACGTTTTAATTTTTTTTAAAAACCATTTATAGAAAATAACGTGGTAATTGAAAGTTAAGCATTTATTTATTATTTTACTTAGATTTTATTTATTAAACTTGAGCCACGGGTATACAATTTATAAATTAAACCTAGAATGTCTACAAAAACCATTTAAGAGATATAGAAAATTCCTTTAGACAAAGTGAAAATTATTTTGTTCAATAAACATTTAAGCCAAATTGACACTAATGGACTTTCTACAAACGTGTTGATCAAATATACATTTGTAGACGTTCTACAAACACAAAGGCTGAAAATTTCCATGGTTAGATACCATAATATCGAACACGGATGTAACGAGACGTGACTCCTTTGTATCTAATCAACCTCAAGTGTGAATTTTATGGTTAATTATAAATAAAAGCTACAAAATTACCCTCATTTCCTTAATGTATTCGTATCTCTTTGACTCCACCAGACAATGGCCACACAGCCACATCACTGATCTTGTTTTATTCCGCGCTATTTCCCCTGAAAATGAGTCACAGTATTCAACAAAAAGATGCATTATACAAACTGAAATTTTAATCAATTTTATCTTTTAACGCCACATTAACATTTTATCTACCCCCTGGTTTTATTTCTACCCACGTAAACCCGAAAGTCTCAAGTTTGGATCACAGTTTAGAGTTATTAGCACTTGCCTGGGTCTCCCTATCCCTAACAGTGTTTCTTCCAGACTTTTTTCTCGGGGGGGGGAGGGGCACCTGAAATTTTCGGGGGGGGAGGACTAAAATTTCCGGGGGGACGACGACACTGTTAAAAGTATATAATTTATCCCCAAAGAAATGCCTGGAAGAAACTCTGATCTCTAATAGGTACCTGACTCACGTTAGAGAAATTAAATGTGGAGAAGCATAGTGTTGAAGAGTGCCGAGGTCACCAAATTAGGCGACTCTACTAGTTAGTTAACCATCTTAAAGGGTAGGCTCCAGAAAAAAAACAACTCTTCAATTAAAACGTTTTATTGAATGTAAGTTAGGGTAGTTAAAGGGAAATATTTGCAAGCATATTTGAAAATATGATTGCCATGGCAACAGCAGCCATCTGGGGAAAAAACTACCCTTTGTGGAGTTCTAAAATGTCATAACGTAACACATATACCGCCTATATTATATCATTGATCATTCTTGTAATAACACTAATAGAGTCCGCTGGCTAGTTTTTGTAACAGAAAACATTCTGGAAATATTTATTTTTTGAATTTTCAAAATTTGGTATGGCGAAACTCCATTAAAATTAATGCTTAATTTTACGGAATTTTACCATAAAAACACTTTGAAAATTTGAATCTAGCGACGGATCATTGATTATATAGCTTTATTTTTTCCAAGATGGCCGCCGTTGCCATGGCAATCATATTTTCAGAAGAGTCCCTGATGCATGCAAATATTTCCCTTAAGAACCCCAACTTATACATACACAAATAAAAAAGAAAGGCATATTAATTTAAAAGTGGGGTTTTTTTTTCGTTTTTTTCTGGAGCCTTCCCTTTTAAAGTAATTATATCGCTAGACAAATTAGTTAATAAACTTACGGTAATTAGGGCGGTCAGCTAAGGGTTGTGGCTGAAAGGTCAGTTTTGAGTACGGTGTGAAGACGTCAGAGTCCACCCTGTACGTCATAGATAAGTTGTAGGCCGTCTCCCAAGGTGATCCTTCCTCTGGACACACAAATTTAAGTTATATTTTATTTAACCTGTATTTTCTATGACAATATCCTGCCTGTATTATGGTGTAAACTAGTTGAAAGGATAGATCTAAGCACAAGTACTTTATTGATCAATCTTTTTAACTGGGTTCAAAAGAGTAACATAGACTGCATTTTGTTTAATCGCGAGTGTAAATAAGAGGATTAAATATATCAGACAAAAATCAATAAGGTTTTAGATAGTACTATTTTATTTAGCTATTATTTTCAGATAAGATACACTGTTTCTTATGTATTGTTTGAACTTTAACATATTTGAACTTAATTTTTTTATATAAGGGTTGTCATGATCGGTATATTCTATGGTTGCTAAATTGAAATGTCCCGAGCTCGAACCCCCAAATAGATGAGGCTTGATAGCTGATATCGGGGATAACTGTAAATATGGTATATAACATGTTGACACGTATTACTAAATTGTGTTGGAGAAAACTCCGTCCTAAATTACAATTAAGAAGTAGTTGTGAGTTACCTTCCATAAAACCGTGAAAAAGAAATGGAGACTCCCAGCCCATCATGACGTACATCTGGTGCGGCCATCTTGCTGGTATCTCCTTAATCACACGACCGCCGTATAGAAGAATGCTATAAATAGCCACAACGTCGGTTTTTTCAGTCACTACATCATTAAAGATACAGTTACTGAACCCGCACAATGAAAAATTAAAAGCCTTTTTCGAGAAAAACCAAGACTGGTGGTAAAACAAAGCAATGTTGAATGTTTTGTTAGCACCAATCATATTTCTGTCATTGTTTCCATTCTTTGAATTGCATACAACAAATGGAGATTCCTTACAATATATAACTAAACTTGTATTGTATGAAACGGTAGTAGCGATTATACTCTCATTGGCGATCAAGCCCCCGATCATGTTTGGGTGGATCCCAGATAAGGAAACATTAGAAAATATGCCGTCGAGACTTCTAATGTGTTTGCACTTGTTGTTTTTAATTGTCTTGTACACGATCGTGTTCAACACGCTCGATACGAAAACACACAATAGTAGGACACTCGGTAGTAGGATACAAATCACTTTAGCGACCACTGTGTTTCTCATTGTTCAGAAAATGTATGTAACTTATGAAACGTATGTTGTATTATATATATATATATATATATATATATATATATATATATATATATATATGTATATATATATATATATATGTGTGTATATATATATATATATATATATATATATATATATATATATATATATATATATATATAGGCTTAATATAAATAAATAATATATTTTGCAATTACGGTATGAACCTGTACACTGCAGTCAACTGTACCACTTACGAACTATTATTTAAAAATATATTACATTTTCTATATTTCATTGGAAAAAATTATAAATTTACAACTTTAGTTGGTGTTTTTAAATCATAAAATGAAAAATGTGTTTTTGAAAATGTAACAAGTTTTTAAAGAGGTAAGAACATAAATTATTATGTTTTGTCTTCAAAAATTATTAAATTATTAAAGCATCCTGATGACAATATCGTTTTTGGAAATAATAGTTGTAATTTTAAAAACTCTTGAAAACTATTCATTGACTATGTAAACTAAATAGAAGAAAAGTTACAAAATGTTAATATTTTAAAATTTTAAATACATTGTAGCACTTGATTTTATTTTTAAACTTTAACTTACAAACATGTGTTATATGTTACATAGAAATCATTTTCTTAACCACAATTATTTTTCCTGTAGAACTTAATGCTATTATTTTATATTTATTTAAAATTAACACAATCTACACGACCAAAACCATTGCTTTGAATGAATGCAAACTCTGGAGAATTAGCGAAAGCGAACATAGAAATAATATTCAGCCATATAAATATGGAAGAACATTATAATGGATTTTTGGAAAATCAATTGTTTTCAAATCCTGTTACATTTGTTTGGCTTGTGTTATTCAATGCAGAGGTTCCCATAATGTGCAATAAGTACACCCTCATCGATGTTGTAGTGGGGATAGATTCCTCAGTATATAACAGGGCATGGAATTTAATAAAAGTGGGAGATATAAGCTTTAATAGGGAACAGATCGCCGACGCCCCAGGATAAAAAAAATAATTCTCAAATCCTGCTTAAAAACCAAATTAATTACATATTAAAAACTAAGAAATTGCTTTTGCGTTGAGTGTTTTCATCCTATATACTCTGTGTCTCTGTAAATATGGAGGACATGCATATAGGTAAAAAAAAAACTCAAACATTAAAAACTTTCACAGACAGAGAGAATGACGTCACATGAAACTCAGCAGAAATAATATTATCAAGTCAGAAGAAACGAAATGTATGAAGTTGAAACTCACTCATTATTTGTAGATAAAAACAGAACTGATAGTTATTTCGAAAAAGATACACAATCATAAAGACGTCATTAATAATGGATAAAAAGACGATAATATTACCGCCGAATTTATTTGTCTAATATTAAAATTGTATGTATAAGAAGGAAACGCGCAAAGTACACAGAAGCACAACCAATAAAATTATAAACAATTTTAAAATGAAAATAAAAAAAGAAAATAAGTATGTTTAATCAAGTCAAATGTCATGAAGTAGATTTAAAATACCAAAAAAGTAAACGCTTATTAAAATAAACTTATGTTCCGCTGCTCTTTAGTTAGAAGTCTAAGTGAAGCGACTACGTGTGAATAGTAAGTGCCGATCTAGCGTCTTATATATGTAAAAAACAAAGACTAATATATATTGTTGAAATGTCGCTTTAGAAATATGATATCATTCTGCATTATGTTTCCGATTTTGTTTGTGTTTGTGCTTGCTTTTGTGTTTGTGTTTGCGTCTGTATTTGTGTTTGCGTTTGCATATGCACTTGTGTTTGTTTTTGTGTTTGTTCATGTGTATGCGTTTGTATTTGTGTTTGTGTTTGCGTTTACATTTGCATTTGCATTTGTATTTACGTTTGCGCTTGTGTTTGGCTTTGGATTATATTTTGGTTGTGGCTGGTTGTTATTTTAGTTGTGATGTAAGTTTAGAGTAAGCGTTTAGTTGTGTTTGATATCCTCAAGCTTCCATATTTACATTTAGATATTTATTTGGAAAAGTAATATATTTCCTAAACCCGGGAAATGACGGTAAATGCTGCTTACAGATACGTTTTTAACGGACGGCTAGTATGTATATAAGCAGAGAAGTATAAACACAGAAGATAGGGTAAAAATTATACGAATTAATTAATTTAGTCAAGTTGACGAAAGAAAATTTTAATTTATAACAAAACTTTAGCCAACTACAGTTGAGTATACTGAAGCAGATACCAGAAGTTTATCTTGACTATACGCTATAAAACCCAGATATTTTAATATTAAATTTTTTATCATAATCTAGTAAATATGGGATATAGTGCAGATAAATAATCATGTTTTGGACTATAAATTGATAGTTAACTGTTGTGATTTACAAACATCCGATTGCCATCATAAAATAGAACAAAAATAGAACCGAGGAAAAATACAGACTAATCGTTTTTTCTAATTGATGTTTTGTTTTAATTTTATAAGTATTTTCATTTTTGGCTTTTGCTAATATTTTTACAGCATTTTTTTTTGTAGGAATATTCATTTGGTTGATTTTTTTTATTTAAATTCCATTTTGTTAAATAATGTAACACCATGACTCAGAGTTTTAAACATGTCAAAACTGAAATTCCATTTTTTTTTAGTTCTATACAGTTTTTTGTTTCGTAACTTAATCTGAGCTTTCAGCTCAGAAATTTGAATTCTTTAACATAATCAAAGCTGCGTGATTAATCAGAGATTAGCTTTATCCCACACATTACGGGTGATTAAATTCCGCCTGAGAAAGCGTCTTAAATGGTAAACTATTTCTTCTTTGTATAATATATTTTACTGTTTTTTAATACTGAAAACCTGTCGAGTCTTAAGTTCTTACTTATCAATACACAGTTTCATTTGTAAATTTGTGCATTTTAGCAATGAACTTTTTTAGCTGTTAAGAATGAAGGGAAATATGGGAAATACACCTCCTGGAAAAATAAAGCGGGGGTGATCTCCCCTAAAATTTCACGAATATTCTTATACATTTCTACGGGGATAGCAACTCGGAATATAGACGTGATTTTTTGTACTACTTCTATTCACCGGAAATTAATCAAAATTTGATAGAAAACAAATAATTAGATATTTTAGTTACATTGAAAATTTCCTCTAATCTATATATCAGAAACAGTAGAATAATTTCCGCTTCCGTTTACCGGAAATCGCTGAAAATTTAAAACAGAACTACAAATTCAATATAGTACTTATATATGAACTTTCATCAACCTGGCTGTAACGGTAGCCAAGTTATCGTGTGCACTGTCAGTCATACACAGAGAAATTGCGAGACTAAGTTTTTCCAAATCAGGTAGGTGTAAAACGTCACGTTTTGTGAAAATCTCGATTTAAAATTTTTTTTTTCACAATTACAATATTTTTTCTATACTTCGTATACGAGAAAGTAAAATCCTTGAGCTTGCTAAAAATTGTGTGAGTTTTACCCTTTCAAATCTGAAGGTCCATGGGGAAGGTAAAGTAGAGCTCACCTGTTTCTGAGACATCTATTAGTTATATGAGAGTGTGGTGAGCAGAATGCTTTAAGTGATGGCCGTTCGTCTCTCGGTTTCGTGTGATGGTATTTTTCCATGTAGAAGTGGGGTTCAACGGTCTAGCGGTTTCGAGTCGATTGGTTTGGTCTATTGTTTTGATGTGATGGTGGAAGAGGTTTTTGCTATTTCAGTTCACTAATGGTAGACACCACAGAATTGTTTTTCAATATTTGACATTTTCCAATGTGTTTACTAACTCTATTTTTTTAACAATAGACAAAAATAGTATACATTCGCCTTTAACAATTGTTGTTGCCATTGAAATAACGAAAATGTGTGAAAATAATCATCATTTTTTAAATCTATATCTTTGATCGAAATATATATATATATATATATATATATATATATATATATATATATATATATATCAACTCAAATAAATCAAATTTTTATTACAAATTGAGATTACTCATACCAATCTACACATTTATACTATTGCAAAAGCTAAAATGCATTTTTAATTCATTTTTTCCGTATAACTATGCTCCTAACTAAATGTAAAAACGTAGTCAAATAAGAGGTATAATGCTTGATGCATTTGGAAAGTTTCAATTGTTTTCAGAGCCCAATGAAATTGAATAACCAATTTTACTTCAAATTTAATCTTGAGTAAGAGTGAATAAAAGCGTAGAATTAGGTTAATTGAGTTTTGAATTTAGTTAGCCTTAATTCATATCAATGAGTCAATCATTATTTAAGATTTAATTGTTTTTGTTCATTTAGTTTGAGGATACTTTATTTGACTACCTCAATACTCAGAGGTAAACGCTTGAGGTTACCCGCACCACCAACCACGGTCCTCTCTAAGGGTCCGATGAGTCATCAATTACGAGTAATCACTCAAGCTCAAAGACCACATATGTGTAGTGTAAATCAATTAATACTTTTCGCTACTGAGCCTATGTCGGTGTACCCTGATCAACAATGTATGACGTATTTTCTTAATCTGCTACTAAGCCCCACTTGGCTAAAATGTCTTATTCATTAGCACATATGTCGTTTACATCCAGATGTAAAGACTTTTCATAGTCGTTCAAGCATATCCTAAAATAATGTACAAGATTATATAGAGACGTGGGTACAGTAGACAATCTAACCAATGGCATAAAAAAATAATCCTAACACTAAAACGAATATCGATCATTTATACTCAGGCTGTTCTGTGTTTAATTATCATACTATTATATGCCATGTGTTAGAGCTTGCTTTCTTTTTAAAATATGGTTGGCAATAGTTGAGAAAATATCATTCTCAGCTGGTACAATCAAGTAAATTTAAATGAAAAAGCAAAAATGTCACAGGGAAATCAGACAAAAAAAATTTTTTTAAATCATAAACAAGAAAAAATATTTTCTGAATGTGCCCTATTTAACACTGATTAAGACAAACGCATAGCTAAAAGTTTTACAAAAAGAACTCATAATTAAAATATATTTTTGGGATCTTGATTGCATTGTCTTCCACCTACAAACCACACTCTCACGTTGTAAATTTTAGGTTCAATTTTCTTAGTGTTTAGAGCTTTACATAAAGTACAGCCTGCTTTCTTTAGATAGTCGTCTGTTTCTCTATAGAGATCTATGTATTATAAATACTTGCTGTAACTCTCGATATCTCAGCCCAGTTTCAGCAGAAATAAAGCCAAATTTTTGGGCGTCCTAAAATTGGCCGCGTTAATAAAAGTCTACTCTATACGTCATGGATAAGTTGAAAAATGTGTCCCAATTTGACTTTTTTTCTGTTTTTGTAACAATTTAGAATATAATATACGGAAAAACATAATTTTGCAATCTTGTACGTATGTCTGTGTGTCTGTGTGTCTGTGTGTCTGTCTGTCTGTCTGTGTGTAAACACGATAACTTGAGTACCGTTACAGCTGGGTTGATGAAATTTCATATATAAGTATTTTATCAAAATCGTAGATCCGTATCAACTTTTGAGCGATTTCCGATAACTGGAAGTGGTACTTTTTCTACTTTGAATTTTTCAAAAGCCTATAATTTTGTACTATTTCAGATAGATAAATGAAATTTCACGTGTAAGTAAAAGATTTAATTCTCTACTTTCTGTCAAATTTTGAGTAGTTTCTGTTGACCGGAAGTACTAATTTACGCTATTTCCGATTTCTCAAAAAACGCATGTAAATTTATAAAGTACTAATAA